TAGGCCCTGGCCGGTTCGGCTCAACGGTCAGAAAGTTGGCCAGCAGACCAGAGTCACAGGTTTGATTCCGGTCAGGGGCAGGTACCTCAGTTTCTGTTTGGCCCCTGGTCCTATTTGTGGTCATGCAGGAGGCAACCAATCGACGTCTCTCTCACATTGGTGTTTCTCTCTCTCTCTACCTGTCCCTCCCACTCTATTGGAAAATATCCTCAGGTGAGTAAAAAAAAAGAACACTGGGCTAGGCCTTCTGGGCACAGTGACAAACCAGTGATGCTGGGGCCCTGCCTCATGGGATTGCAGGGTAGTGGAGAGATGGGCAAATGAGAGGGAAGAATGAAGTTACCCACGGCAACAGAAACGGCAGTACCACTAAGAGAACCAAGGAAAGAGGAACTGTTTAGAGGAGGAGGTCAAACTTGTTTTCAGAAAACAGATGCTGTTACAAAATAGGTTTATTTGGGAGTGAAATACTAGCTATCAAGCTTTCAAAATGGAAAGAATTATATCTTCATTGCCATTAATATAACAGAGATACAAGTGGTTTTCATACCCAGAGATTAATTTCTCAAAGTGTGTCTGAGGAACAAACTGTGAAAAAAATGAGTTTCATGGTCAATTACATATGGAAGATAGCTACATACCTGTCTCTTAGAGATTCATTATTCCCTTCAGCATATTAAAAGCTTTAAGAAATTGCACTAAACTTTACCTCATATTTCCCAAGCTTATTTGAGCACTGATAGCTTTTGTAACAATTATTATTATTAAAAAAAATTTTTTTTTCTTTATTGATTTTAAAGAGAGGGAGAGAGAGAGAGAACCATCGATGAGCAAGAACATCGACTGGCCGCCTCCTCCATGCCCTCCATTGGAGATCGGGCCCACAATCTCAGCATGTGCCTTGACCAGGAATTGAACCAGCGACCTCCTGCTGCATGGGGTTGACACTCAACCAATGAACCACACCAGCCGGCCTTTTCTAACAATTATTAAAGTGCAAAACTATTTGTGTTTATCTAGTAATAGTATCCAAATCAGGGGTATTTAGTCAAAGATAAGATAGACCTTGTGTTTGAAAACTAAGAGAAAATTTCAGTCCTTGCAATATTTGGGGAAGGAATAGGATTTTCCATATCTAGGAAATTCTGAGTGGTTCTAAACTCACTGTTATTTCATCTTAAATTTTCTTTCTTTATTCTCCTGAGGCAAGTTGAGCCTTATTTGTGAAAGCAGGCAATAGCACTTTTATATCGCTGTGGGCTCTGGTGAGGCCACCAGAAAGCCACATGCTAGCTATACACAGACACCACCCTCCAACATCTTGATCCCTCTTCAGAAGTGGACTCCGGGCCGGGGGCCAGGTATTGGAAGAATGTCTAGAGGCATTTTTTTTTTCTTTATTGATTTTATGAAGAACATCATGTTCTTCATTTCTTTGTCCATTGGGAGAGACAGTGGGCAAAGTTTTCCCTAATTCTCACCAATACATTCAGGAAAAAAGGCCTTGTGTTTGAAAGGGGCCTGATCTACACCCTTCATTTTCCTGGCACCAATGGAACCCAATTAAAGAATCTGGTTAGTTCCTCTGAAACACAATGCTTACCATGACCCCACTGCTTCTTTTTCTGGTGTGTACACCAGAAAATTAGTTTCTCTCCAAGGGTAAATAACTGAAAGAAGTGATAAAGAACTTAATAATGCTCTCCTTAAAAAATAAACTATTATAATAACCACAGAGAAAGGAAAGCTCTTAATTGCTTTCACGTCACTTTTTGAAAAAAAAAAAAAAAAAATCTAAGCTTAGTCATGGGTTTACTTTGCTCCAAGGCAAATATTCAATTAAAACAATTTTTTTTCTTTATTGATTTTAGAGAGAGAGGAAGGGAGAGGGAGAAATAGAAACATCGATGAGAGAGAACATCATTGGCGGCCTCCTGTATGACCTCCACTGGGGATTGGGCCCACAACCTGGGCATGTACTCTGACGGGGAATTGAACTGGGACCTCTCAGTCCATGGGATGATGCTGAATCCACTGATTCACACCAGCTGGGCACTATTTGCATTTCTGACTTAGGGTTACATACATCTTGCCTAACTGCAAGTAGTATATGCTTCATTTGTTATTTTGGATAAACTTTAATGATAGCCACAGATTGTCAGCCAGTTCACAAATACACTAGAGAGAGTGAAGACACACAAACGTATTTAACAGGAGAAAAAGCCTTCCAGTAATGTATTGGATGTTCACTGAATCCATGGCTTCTTTTGATTATCATAAAGTGGAGTCGTTAACTTCTCAGAAGTCCAGGTTCTGTCAATTTTTTTTTTCTTGGTTAATCCTGAGGATATTTTTCCATTGATTTTTTTAGATAAGAGTGAAAGGGAGGGAGAGAAACATCAATGTGAGAGAGACATCAACTGGGGCTCGAACCTGCAACCCAGGTATGTGCCCTTGACTGGAATCAAACCCTAGACCCACTAGAATGACGTTCTAACCACTGAGACAAACCAGCTAGAGCAGGTTTTGTCATTATTTTTTTATTTTTATTTTTTTATCCTCACCCGAGGATATTTGTCCATTTTTTGTACAGATAGAGAGGGAGGGAGAGAGAGGAAGGGAGAGAGAGAGAGAAACATCGACGTGAAGGGACACATCAAGTGGCTGCCACCCGCACGACCAACCAGGGCCGGGGACAAACTGCAACCGAGGTACGTGCCCTTAGCGGGAACCGAACCCGGGTCTCTCCGGACCGCAGGCCGACGCTCTAACCACTGAGCCAAACCGGCCAGGGCTGTCATTATTTTTTTTAAAGAATTATTTATTTTTTATCTAATTCCTCACCTGAGGATATTTTTTCCATTTATCTTTAGATAGCGTGGGAGGGAGGGAGAGAGACATCGATGTGAGAGACACATCGATTGGTTGCCTCCCGCAGGACCCTGACCAGGGCCAAACTGCAACAGAGGTTTGTGCCCTTGGCTGGAACCGAACCCGCAACTCTTTGTTTTTATCCTCACTTGAGGACATTTCTGCATTTATCTTCAGATAGAGTGGGAGGGAGGGGGGGAGGGGGAAGAGAGAGAGAGAAACATCAATGTGAGAGAGACATCTACTGGCTGCCACCTACATGACCCCAAATAGGGCCAGGAATGAACCACAACCGAGGCATGTGCCCTTAGTGGGAACCGAACCCGGGACTCTCTGGTCTGAGGGCCAACACTCCAACTGCTGAGCCAAACTGGCCAGAGTGAACCCGGTGACTCTTTGGTCTACACTCTAACAGCTGTGCCAAAGTGGCCAGGGCGGTTCTGCCATTTTTAAAAACTGCCTCTGGGTGAGTTGCCTCATCATCCAAATGTCCTGGGAGAAATAAGTGAGACGTAAAGGCACTCCGTAAACTGTAAATAACGATACACATATTTCAGGTGTTGTTTTGATCTTGAGATTCATCTGGGCAGGCTCAGATGATGATTCTTTGCTTCCTCAGGATTATTTATTGGAGCTCAGAGACTTGGATAGAAGCTTCCTCAGGTCAAGAAGGAATATATATATATATATATATATATATATATATATATATATACACACACACACACACACACTTTTTTTTTTTTTTTTTTTTGGTGGTGGTGGTGGTGTGGGAAGGAGGCAGAAAGATAGGCAATGGTTAGGCACTGACATTTGGAAGAATAGTTCTTGGTTCTTGTAGGATCCACCTGGGGTAGCTTCCTGCAGGAGCTGGAATTTCCAGGGTTAGGAAACTGAAGTTCCAGAGTTATTCCTGCAGTGAGGGGAACGAGATTGCTGGGAGCATGGTAATTCTCAACAAGCAAAAGAAAAGCTCATTTTCTCGTTCAGCTTGCTACTAGCAGTCATTATGGGAAAGGTGAAGAACAAAAGGGCCATCACCCAAGTGCCATTACAGTCTCCCAGGGGAGGTACTTAGGAAATAGTTAGCAAGTTAAACCCACAGCATTGTTAAACTTGTCAGAGGGAGTGCCTTGAAGGTAGGGGGGAGGGGGTAACCTCTGGGAGAAGGGGTGTTTGGAAGGCCCTTTGGAAGGCTTGATAAGTCAGGATCTCAGGGCTGGAGGTGACCATGTTCTCACCCCAAAAGGGAAGGCAATGTTTTTTAAAAAGCCCCCCTCCCAGGCTCAAAGGCGGCCATCAAATCTTTCTGCGTCCTAGTGCACCACACTGAAAGGGGGACCAGACTCTCCTTCAAAATGCCAACCCTACTTCCCGGCTCCCACACTCCCTCCTTCACTACAGGAAGGTGGCGAAGGATTTATAACCCACCTCTTTCTTCCAGTTGTCATAGAGACCAACCCCAGCCCTATCATTGCTCCTGACTGGAAACATTTCTCCAACGCAGGCGGAAACAAGGGGGCTTAGCCCAAACACGCCACGCGGCGCTGCGGGAGAGGGTGGTAGTAAAAAATAGTGCAGCGGGGCTGGCGTCCTGGACCGCAGCAGAGGAACCGGGCAGAGGGACAAAGGCTAAAGGCAGCCGCAGTTCCAGTCCTTCCGTCTGCCAACAGACGCTGCGGGGGCACTGCTGGGCTGGGGGAGGGCGCTGGGAGAGGACGGGACAAACAGCGTGGCGGGGCTCGGGGCGCGCGGCGGCATCCCGGGAGATTTCTGGGGCTCCGAGGCGTAGACCTGTGCACCTGGGCGGGCGTGTGCAGAGGAAAAAGGGGGCGAGGGCCCCTCCACCCACGCGTCCATAGGGCGGTGCCGCCATCACTCCCCAGTCAGACACACTGCCTTTCCTCCTCTGTCGATCCCGGGTCCCCTCCCCACCCCTGTGCTCCGCCCCCGTCCTGAAAGTCTCTCATTGGACGGAGGTGCAGTCAATCCGCCTCGAGTTAGGGAGCCTATTGGACATGAAGGCCTTCGAGCTTCCCCCAGCCTGTTGGGATTGGCTTGCTGTGCGTTGGCGCAACGGAAGAGGCGGCTGGCCGAGAGTGAGCCTCTGCTCCGGCTGGACTGAGCGGAGGAGGCAACGACGAATCAAGCATTGGGGGGCTGGTTCGGGAGGCAGTAGTGGCTGCTGTGGATGGGACCGGGCCGGCTTGGCGCGCCCATGGAGCGCCACAGCAGCGTCGTGGCCACCTCCACCTCGTCGACCCAGGACCCAGCGCCGGAAGAACCAGATGGGCGGCGGCAGGAGCCCCTGCGGCGCCGGGCGAACAGCGCATCAGCGCCAGCCCCGGCGGAGGGAGCAAGGCGGGAGCGACCCGGCTCGTTCAGCGGCGCTGCTTTGGTCTCCCGCCAGCGCGTGGAAAGCCTCAAGAAGAATCGGCCCCGTAAGTGCCCGGCGGGGCGCCCTCGCGGCTCGCCCTGCCCCCTTCAGGCCCGGCCGCCGTTTTTCCCGCGCGCTCGCGCGGGGACAGTGCCCCCGCACGGTGGTCCCAGGTTGGTGCGTGGGCAGATGGTGGGTTGGAGGCCTGGGGTCCCCCAGACGCGGAGGCTTCTGGGTTCGGCCCCCGCGCGCGGTAGTTCGCGCTCGCGGGTTGGCGGAGTGGAGGCTCTTTCTCGGGGTCCTTGGGCATGCTTTGCCTGCGAGTCACATGATTTTATCTACAGAAGGCTTCTTTGGACTCATTTCCACTGCTTGCCCTCCCCCAAATCCTTTGAATCCCCAGTGTCTGTCTGCTGTGGATTTTCAAAGACCTGCTAAGTATTTTTTGTCTGGGAATTTCGACTTAATGGAAAGCTCTTGACTGACGCCTACCTGAGTTGCTGCGAGACTGGATTCCGTGTTGTGTGCACTCAGCTTTGGCTGTTTTTCTTCCCGTGAGAATTCAGGTTATCTGTTTTCTTTACATCTACTTGCTGATACTCGTATTCTGGGCATTAAGGTTTTTTGTTTTGAGGGAAAACGACATCTTTCTGAATCTTGCCTTGGAAGTTGCACACGCTCTTCCCAGATAATCCTTTTCTCCATTTTATTAGTTTTTTCCCGCCGTGTTTAGATCTAGTCCAAATATTTTCTCCCCATTATAGCTCTTCAATTCAGGCCGTCTGCATAGCACCGTTGGTGCGGTTAAAAGTGTCCACTGTCCTGACACTAATAAGTGCCTTATAATATAGTAGTGGCATTTTACATATGGCTAGACTTTTTTTCCCTTTGCTGTTGTAGCCAAATTACTGTTTCAAGAAATCAACTTGTTTTAAATGCACATTATTAGAGTGAAAGTGGCAGGATGAGTGCGAAGTTTTTATTGAATGGTCGTACCTTGGTCCAACCACCCAATTGCTTTACTTTTAACACATGATTTGCATGATTAAATGTAGCCCTATTTTGCTATGAAAAATTGGGGGAGTTTTCAACTCTTTTGTCTTTTCCTATCCTCTTAAAATAGATTTGGAAAACATCTGCCCTCAACCTATACCGTTTTTAGAGCCAGTTACTTGGTTTATGTTTTATTTGAGAAGCGTCTGGTTTTTAAGCAGTGCAAAACATTTCTTCCTGCGTGGCTTTGTACTATGTCATTGGCTATGGATGCAAATTCCAGAGATTCAGCAAATAAGAATGACAGCCATATAGCCAGCTGTCTGTGGTCATTGGCCATAAAGATTCTAAATAAGTACTGCATTTTGAGTGTTGCATGGATCAGGCACTGTAAAATCTTACTAATTTTTTTGTATTAAAATTTTTTCTTTCAGGCACTCTTAGAGTTTAATAACTCACTAGCTCTCAACACTGAAGTAGTAGTGTTCCATTTCACAGATGAGAAAATGGGCCCATTTATCCAGTGTCAGATGGCTAGTGAACAGAACTATAAACTCAAGAATTTTAGCTTCATAATGCCTGTTTGATTTTAGAGAGGAAGGGAGAGGGGGAGAGAGAAACATCAATGAGAGAGAACATCGATTGGCTGCCTTCTGCATGCCCTGCACTGGAGATCGGGCCCACAACCTGGGCATGTGCCCTGACTGGGAATCGAACCGGCGACCTTTTGGTGCACTCACTGGTTGACGCTCAACCACTGAGCCACACTGGCCAGACCATAGTGCCTGTTAACCACCATGATTTACAGATTGTTTATGTTCTAGTAGCTATTTTTTCATTATTCTAAGAGCAAGCATAATCACAATCTTTTGTGTTCAACGTTTTCTTACTTTAGGTGAAAATTTCTAGCTACTTCCGAATTTTGAGCATAAAAACGACCTAGGGAGTTAACAATGCAGATTCCCTGGGTTCATTTCTCTCTTTTGAATCAAAATCTGGAGAGTTCTCAGAAGCTCCCCATATCATTCAGATACAGGTGACTCAAAGACCACTCTGAAAAACACTGGTTTAGACTGTATTGGTGGGGGGAAGCAGTTATATAAGGTGGTTTTGAAAAATCTTTTAGGAAATAAGACGAGTAAATATTCACATTGTAGGATTCATTTATTTATTTATTTATTTATATCCTCACCTGAGGACATTTTTCCATTTTTTGTTCAGATAGAGTGGGGTGGGGGGTGGGGGGAGAAACATCGACGTGAAAAGGACACATCGAATGGTTGCCACCCTCATGACCCATCCAGGGCTGGGGACAAACTGCAACTGAGGTACATGCCCTTAGCGGGAACCTAACCCGGGTCTCTCCAGACCGCAGGCTAACGCTCTAACCGCTGAGCCAAACCAGCCAGGGCTATTTATTTATTTTTTGGTCTACCATTTGGTGTCCCTCAGGTAGAGACCTGAAGAAATAAAGTATTGCCCTGGCCAGTTTTGCTCAGTGGTTAGAGCATCGACCTGCGAACCGGAGAGTCCTGGGTTTGGTTCTTGCTAAGGGCACGTACCTTGGTTGCAGTTTGTCTCTGGCCCTGGTTGGGGTCATGTGGGTGGCAGCCACTTGATGTGTCTCTCTCACATCAGTGTTTCTCTCCCTCTCTCCCTCACGCTCTACCTGAAGATAAGTACAAAAATGTTCTCGGGTGAGAATAAAAAAAAAAAAAAAGAAAGAAAGTATTGTTCTTCCTCTCATTTGCTCTGTACTGTGTCAGGGCACCTGTTAGAGGGAGAGGCAGTGTGTTAGACTGCTGAACCCTCCAAGAATATACAGTCGACCCTGGAATAACATGGGTTTGAACTGCATGGGTCTACTTATTCAAGGATTGTTTTCAATAAATACTTGTACTGCCCTGGATGGTTTTACTCAGCAGTTAGAGCATCAGCCTTCGGACCAAAGAGTTGTGGGTTCGTTCTGGTCAAGGGCATGTACCTCAGTTGTGGATGTGTCCTTCTCACATTGATGTTTCTGTCTCTCTCCCTGCCTCCCACTCTATCTGAAGATAAATAGAAAAATATCCTCAGGTGAGGATTATAAACAAACAAACAAAAACTTGTACTGTTTTCTGTCTGCAGATGCAGAGGGCCAACTGTGTACATCGATCAGATAGAGACTTGAGCATCCTCACATTTTGGTATCTGTGGGGTGGCGGTTGGGGTGGTCCTGGAATCATGCCCTCTTTGATACTGTGGGACAATTAAGTTTTTGGGGAGTCAAGTTATATGGATTTTTTTTTTATCCTCACCTGAGGACATTTTTGCACTTATCTTCAGATAGGGTGGGAGGAAGAGAGGGAGGAAGAAAGAGAGAAGCATCGATATGAGAGAGACACATCTGATGGTTGCCACCCACACTACCCCAACCAGGGCCAGGGATGAACTGCAGCCGAGGTACGTGCCCTTAGTGGGAACCAAATCTGGGACTCTCTGGTCCGCGGGCCGATGCTTTAACCACTGAGCCAAACCGGCCAGGGCAAGTTATATGGATTTTTGACCCCACCCCGCTATTGTTCAAGAGGCAACCTTACTTTGAGAAAATCCAATAAAGACCGAATCTCTGTATTTATTGTTGGGAGAGTTGGGTATGGGGTGGTGCCACTTTTCTTTTGATGTTAACAAACCTCACAATGAAGTCACTCAGAAGTTTATAAAAAAACAATCCTCAGAACATGCATCTTTTAATTTTTAAAATTTTAAAGAGGTATGATTACATACAGTAAGATGCACAATTTTGACAATTGTATACACTCATGTAATTGGAGAACATTTTAATTAAGGGCTCCAGATGTGCAGAAGATGTGAGAACCCTGGGACCAGAGTGTTCCATAGCAGTGTGGGGATGAGGTAGATCTTTCACGGTGACTCCCAAGCATGTTGTTGCTGCCTGGGAGATCTTTGGGACTTAACTGATTTTGGGCTCATCCCAATCAGGAAATGTCCTTAACCTCCATTAGTTTAGAAAATAAAGCTTTTGTTTGTAGCTTGACAATTTTAAAGTGGGAAATGGATTGCTTTTCCTTGGCTTTGGGAAAGCATCAGTGTTGGCAGAATGGAACTGGTGCTGGGTCCCCAGGAGACTGCCCTGGGGATCAGATGCAGTGGTTCATCTTTAGTTAGGGAATTAGGAGGGGCTGCCCACTAGAAGCTAGGGAAAAAGTTAGATTATCTGTTGCTTTGTAGCCCATTTTTGAGAGACATAATGAGAGAGAATGTTTTTTGATTGATTTTATTAACTTTAAATGAAAAAGAAGTAAACATGGCCACTCTTTTGGGTGTATAACAAATGTAAAACATTATGTAGGGCCTAAAGATAGTCCCATTATGCAATTGTATAAAATGATAACAGTTTGTTATTTTAGGGACCTTATTTTTGAATCATGCATTTAGAGAATATGATTGTTCAGTGTTAGCATCCCTGCCCTCTGTTTATCTGGGGGGAATGTAAGCAAGAAGAGATGTATGCTGTTAAAAATATTTGCTTAGCCCTGACTGATTTGGCTCAGCAGTTAGAGCATTGGCGTGCTAACTGAAGAATCGTGGGTTCGATACCCGGTCAAGGGCACATACCTGGGTTGCAGGTTTGATCCCCAGCCCTGGTGTGTGTGGGGGTAATCAGTTGATGTGTCTCTCTCACATCAGTGTTTTCCCCATCTAAAAATCAATGAAAAAATATCCTCAGGTGAGGATTCACAAATATATTGTATATGTGTATGTATGTATGTATATATTTTGAAAGGAAAGAGAAGAGACAATATACTACAGGCTGTTGGAGAGGACCTTATCAAGTAGTAGAAAGAACTGGTCATTTATTTTAATTTTATTTTTTCTTAATTTTTTCCCCTTATTTATTTTAGAGTGAGAGGAAAGGAGAGGGAGGAAAGGAGAGAGAGAGAGAAACATCGATGAGAGAGAAACATCAATGGGCTGCGCCCTGCATGCCTCTGCTGGGGATCAAGCCCACAATCTGGGCATGTGCCTGACCAGTAATTGAACCATGACCTCTTGGTTTATGGGATGATG